ATAGATAGCTATCCATTTCCAAATGTTAATTTATAGTTAATACATTCTAAACTATAAGTTTTCATATATAAACATCCTACACCCGATAGTTATATATTAAAGTGAAACAATTGCTGGATTATATCAGGCTATATTATTACTACATTATTAATTAAATTTTAAGTAATGTGACACTAGAGACATTAGATAAATTTAATAATAATAATTATTATTTTATTAATTTAATTATAATTATTAAACTAACCAAGAGATTGCACCTAATGCCTACCTCTAGCACCAAATTACTTAGCATTTAATTAATAATAGTAGTAGTAATATAGCCTGATACAATCTAGCAATTGTTTGGCTTTAATGTAAGTTTTCATTTTGATCAATTGTGGATTATTTTTTAATACTATCTTCATCTAAATAAAAAATCATTTTCAAAAAATAATACTCTAAAAACTGTCTTTGAACAATAATTTTCATCATTAATATTGTTTTGAAGAATTTTTTCATTTGTTATCTTACATTTGTTTTAATTAAAGAAAATTTTACAGTATGAATTTGTTTTAGAAGGGAAACTTGTGACCAAATTGGTTCAAAGTTACTTTATATTACTTTTTTAGCTAACTCTGCTACGTGCTATATCATCATGATGTTCTGCAAGACAGAAGTGGAGCATTCTAGCAGTGGCTCCAATATATGATAGTGTCAACCCAATTAGGGGATTTCCTTAGGTTTATAGTATATACCCCAGACTTTTCATAAAGTCAACCTCGTTTCTATCATTACAAAGTATCCTACATAAGGTGGGCTGGAATGCTAGTGACAAAATATAGCCAAAGTTCTTGAAGACTCAACAAATACATAATGAAATAGGACCTGGGTACGGAATGGCCAGGATTATGAAAATCAATTCCTTCATAGAATACAAAGTTATGGTGGAAATAAATGCATTTGACCTGATTGACTAAATGTTGGAAATAACACATGTTATTTCCACTTTGTATTCTAAGAAGGAATTGGTTTTCATAACCATAGCCATTACATACATGGGTCCTACTTTGATATGTATTTGTTGAGTCTTCAAGAAATTTGGCTATATTTTGTCACTAGCATTCCAGCCCACCTTATGTAGTATACTTTGTAATGATAGAAACGAGGTTGACTCTATGAAAAGTCTGGGGTATATACTATATACCCTAAGGAAATCCCCTAATTGGGTTGACACTATCATATATTGGAGCCACTGTTAGAATGCTCCACTTCTGTCTTGCAGAACATCATGATGATATAGCACATAGCAAGTGTACAACAGAGTTAGCTAAGAAAGTGATAGAAAGTACAGTAATACCCCGACTTACGCTACCCCAACTTACACGAACCTGGAGTTACGCAATTTTCAAATCTTGTCGATTCGTCTTTTGTTTGAGCGCTACGCAACTCTTGATTACTCACTCCCCCCACTATTGTTCAGCTTAAATGTTCGGACATGTCGCACAGAATCTGCATAGCTACAATTTATTTTGTGTTATTTATTTCTGTGTTTGTTATATCTACGGAGACTTGAAAGACTCTACTATGTCATCTGAACGAAATAGAACTGATTCTTCTACATCAAACAAGAAAAGATAAACTTTATCTTTGGAATGTAAAGTTAACATTATTAAAGACTTCGATACAAAAATGAAAATTTGTGAATTGGCAAAGAAGTTTGATCTACCAGAATCAACGGTCAGAACAACTATTAAAGGTAAAGAAAAAATTCTCGAAGCTCTAAAAAATGCTCACTCTTTAAATTCAAGCATCATTCGTAAACGTCGTGGTATTATCGCTGAAATGGAAACAATGCTAAAATAATGGTGTGATAATCAAGTAAATGTGGAAAATTGTTTAGTAATATAATTTCTTATACATATGTATTATCTAAGATTTTATTAAACATTTTTTTCTTTTTTTCTAAATTATTGTTTTCTTTAGTCTCCGGCCCCAATTAAAAATTATTTGTATGTATTTATATGCAAAATTGTACCCCGACTTACGCGGTTATCGCTCGGTCCCACCTATCGCGTAAGTTCGGGGTATTACTGTAACTTTGAACTAATTTGGTCACATGTTTTCCTTCTAAAACACTGTGGGAATCAAAAAATATTATGAATTTGTTTTTGAAAGTTCAGAAAAATTCTAGTACAGTGAAATGTCAGAAATATGGACTAATTGGGATTGGACTACATCTGAATTTTCAAATATGCATAAATTAGCATTTTACATACTGTAAATTCCAAATATACTGTAAATCAAGTTTAGGTGTTCTAACTTCAAGCCAGTATTTCACAAGGAATGTAGGAATAGTTAAAGATTCAAAATATAATTTANTGAATGTTTGTATTAAAAATATAGAAGTTATGTTTAATATTAAATTTAATAAATTGTAAGTCGTCATTCTAATGAACTCAGTCTTATAACCATGTCATTCATAATCATTCAGTTAAACACTGTAAAAGGTATAATAATATTAATTAAAAATGGATGCATCATGAATTAGCTTCAACAGGAAATAAAGTGGTTAAAAAAATACAAGACAAAACAGATAACATATCATCATTCAAAAGATTATCAAGGATTAATTCAAAGAATTAAATTTACTTAGTATTTTCATTGATTTCTTAGAAAGTATTATACCATAATGCACTGCAGAAGAAAAAAATCTATTATTTCATATTAATGAAATCAAAATTTCACTACTATAAGATCAATCAATCACTTTTGAAAAGATATGCCTCATTTATATGAAAAGTATAATCTGAACCATTCAATATATTTGATTTTACAATATAATACTTTAAAAACACACTGTAATTTCTTCAGCAGTATGTATTAATAATTTATTTTTTATCTAGACCAAGATTTTTATCTTTGAAAACTTTATTAATTCATTTTAAATGCAATAATAATTTAGATTAATATAAATTAAAAAAAAAAAATAATTACTGTACAGTGAAGCCTCAAAAATCCAGATTTTGCCATATATATCAAGAATATGGATTATCACTTTTCATATAAATGAGGCATATCTTTTCATGTTTCAAAAGTGATTGATTGATCTTATAGTAATAAAATTTTGATTTCATTAATTTGAAATAATAGATTTTTTTCTTCTGCAGTGCATTATGGTATAATACTTTCTAAGAAATCAATGAAAATACTAAGTAAATTTAATTCTTTGAATTAATCCTTGATAATCTTTTGAATGATGATATGTTATCTGTTTTGTCTTGTATTTTTTTAACCACTTTATTTCCTGTTGAAGCTAATTCATGATGCATCCATTTTTAATTAATATTATTATACCTTTTACAGTGTTTAACTGAATGATTATGAATGACATGGTTATAAGACTGAGTTCATTAGAATGACGACTTACAATTTATTAAATTTAATATTAAACATAACTTCTATATTTTTAATACAAACATTCATGTTTTTTCTTGATAAGCATTCTCAAATAGTAAACACATCTTGTCCTTAAAGCTTGAAATAATAAAAGCCTTTGAATGGTAGCTGTGTATACTATTCAAGAATTTCTGAAAATTTAGGAAAACTATGTAAAATTAATAAATACAGTAGATAGGTGCAGTATTTATATAACAAACAAACGTTAATAGAAAAAATATATGTAAAACATACAGTATAATACACAATACAGTAGCGTGTCGATTATTTGAATGTCGATCAACCAAAACGTCAGTTAACCAAAAGCGTTCCAGTCGGACTGTGTCATGCTGAATCAAACATTTTTGATACTAGATTAACTTCTAAAGTATAATTTTTTTTGTTTTTATATTTTTCAATATATTTATTTTGTTTGTACTAAATAAAGAAATAATTTTTAACGATACAATACGATTATTATTATAAAAATTTTTGTTAGGCTTAACATCGACGAAAATTCAATGCGAAGCAACACACAACAGAGAAAAATTTAAACATGGGATATATTAATATACTATTATTGGGATATAACAATATACTATATAAATAATGTATTTTTTTCATACGTAATCGGTTATCCGAAAAATCGATTTTCTGAACAACCCCAGTCCCCAATTGATTCGGATAATTGACACTCTACTGTACTTATAATAGTCTAATATAAAATTCAAATAAAATTCAAATAATTATAATTTTCAGGTTATGATTCATATTCAGTTTTGAATAATTCCTATGTTTAGAATTTAATATAATTTCAAAATATCATCATTATTATAAATGATATTTTTTCAATTCAAATTTGTGGGATTACTCTTTAAATGTATATTACATTATCTGAAAGTAATAAATCGCAATCTTTTATATTTAAAATATGTCAATTCCGAATAATTTCCAAATCAAGACAAATTTTTAATTCAATAAAAATATTTTAAAATATTTTTCATTAATTCATAATTCTTTATAAAACAAGAAAAGAAAAAACAGCTTAAAGTTGTACTGGACAAAATTGTGTATAAAAGAAAACTAAAAAATTTTTATGATATTAGTTAAACATGAAATCTTGTATTAATGAATTACAATATAGATTTTACTAGATATTTTATATAGTTAATATAGTATATACTGTACAATATTTCTTTTGCACTACCATAAAATGTAGTGTTTAATTGTAAGATAACATTTGATTCATATTGATTATAATCTATAAAAAATAAATAGCATTTGTATTGATAAAATTTCATGCATAAAATAATTATTTTACAAGTAATTTTTAAAAATAGATAATTTGAATTTTATTACTTAATTACTTATCATATGAAGATCATTAAATGCATTAAGTTATGAAATTTTAAGATATGTATTCATTTATATGAAAAAACTTCTTTTAAATGTTGGATTTGTAAAATATGATTTTAATTTAAAAACTTATTTCATAACAAAAGATAAATAAAGTTTGTAGAAAAAAATATTCAAAATATGAATTTATTAAGTTAAATTTTAAAAGAATTGTATTAATTTTAAATTAGGATGTCGACTGTATTCTTCATCACGTTCGGCAGCTAGCAAATGCTTTAAGATATTTTCAAGATGTAGTTGAGAAAAATACATTAGAAATGTTACCCGGTTCTGCCAGTGTAGTTCTTGAAACAGTCCTTGCTATCCATTCTGTCCTTAGAAAATGTTTAGTTAATGAACAAAGGTAAGTTGTCTTTTAATATTAAAAAGGTCTCTTTAGTATTTGAATTTATTGTTATCAACTGATTTTTACTTTTTAGTACCTTGCTACTTTCTGCAACAAACCAGGTATATCAAAGTCTTGCAAATTTAATACGATGGTCAGATAATGTTTTGCTTTATAACGAGAAAGCTCCAAATAAAGAAACAGTGCAAGATATTGTTAGAAATGTCCAAGAAGCAATTAAGGTCAGTACAGAAATACATATTTATAAATTATATTTCATTAATACTAGACTGAAAAAAAAATGTAATTTTAAAATAAATGTTGGATGAAAATAAACTTTAGCAAAAATATCTAGTTTGACTGTAGTGAAGTGTAGAATATTAGCATCAGTAAATATAAATTTTGAATCCTAATAAGAATTTTATTTTGTAAATTGTGAAAGTACACCACTAATTTTCTAGTATCCCTAGTTCCAGAGCCTTGCTAAATCAACAGAATCATATAATAAACTGCACATTTGACCAACTTATTATGCCCAGCTCATGCTTCTAAAACAATATGAGCTATTATAAACATACTGCTGTAAAAAAATGGATAGGAGGAAAATAAATATTTATTTGTATCTTGTTAAAATACAAATTCTTAGCAATATTTCTGAAAAAAATGCAAGCAGCTATTAGATCTGCTAGTTTAATGTTTGTATGAAAATTTTTATGTGACTTGTCTACTTAAAGTGTAATAACCCTTCCCAATAAAGCATGCACTGTACACCACACACAATGCCATTGTGATTGCTCATGGATGTATGTCTGTCAGTCACAGGAATCTGAAGTGCAATTTTATAATTCTGTTTGGAATAAAGATATCAGACTATTAGTTATGCCTATATTAAATAAATTTATTAAAATTAAATTTGTATGTTTAAGAATTAGATACGGAAATATTAGTAATTATAGGTTTAAAAATTTGAAAAAAATGAGACATCAGATCATTTAAAAATATATTAATTACAATCTGAACATTAATGATATCAGAGAATTGATGACAAAATATGATAAAATAAAGGAAGCTTTTTCTGTGATTATATGATAAATTGTTGTTTCATACAGGATGTGGGAATAGCTTTTGATGAATAAACTAAAAAAAGCAGGAAACAAGGCTAAAATTTGTAATTACTTATTCTAGAAAAAATATCAATAAGTAATACATATGACGTTGAAAAATGATTAAATTATATGCTATTAGTCATTAATTTAGTGTTATACAAATTGAATAGATGTAATAATTTGCAAAAATCAGAAATATTCAAGAAGAAATTTTTTTATTAGTTTGCTTCTGGAGTATATTTGCTTAAATACAATATGTACATTTCTTTGAAAATCTTTGTCTGTCAAATTGTATTTATACTATATTATAATTTTTCATACTCATTTAATACATTTAAGCTTGGAACTAAATATATTTTCAACATATGTAATTTTTTTCTGTTATTTTGAAATACTGTGTGTAATACAAAGTAATATATTCTGTTGAAATGTTAAAATATTTGGAAAATTTTAAAATGCTGCTCTTTGTATTTTTTGTATAACAATTAGTCTAGTAGACCAGATAAAATTTATACAGTCCATATGGTATTGGCAGGTGATAAGGACTAAAAATACTAACAGTTAAATTGTTAACATTAATTTGTAATAATTGAATGTTTTGCTATATTTGATTGAAAGGATTAGAAAAGTAGAAATACACCAGAATTTTCTTTAAAAGTAATAGAAATAGTATTTTCATTTTACTTTACAGACTAGTATTTTTCTATAAAAAAAAACTTGGGATGAGACATAAAATTGTGTTACAAATGAAACAATTTTAAGTAGCTTTAATATAGTAAATTCACTTAAAAGATGAAATCTATATTGAAAGTTGATTGTTACATTTTGCGAAGTATATGCAAAGGTGGTAGTGATAAAAATAATAAAATTAATGAAAACAAGACAATTTATAATAACCCAAAATAATGTATTTGTAGCCTTTGATATAAGAAAATTGTTGTTTGAGAGTTTTTAAAAATTTTTTCTTAAAATTTTTTATTTATTTATATAATTAAAATTTCAAAAAGTTATAATAAATAAAACTGAATAATGAGTTAATTTTATTTTTATTTATCATTCAGAATTGTTTCATATTTTGTTTGTGTATTTTCCAGCATTTATTGAAGCAAATCTATATTTATTTTATTCTAAAATGAATTCAAGTACTGTACTAGATTTTGTACAGAATAACACAGGTACTTATTGTGTTGTTAACATAATAATAATTGTAATATTTTATATATATATATATATATAATAGCTGAATTTCTGAAAAATATTTTCTTTTTTTTCAAAAATAGATCAACTGATAATGCAAAATTTGAATCAAAATTACTCAGTGCTGGAACTAACACAAATTAATCAGTTTATTTTGAAATTGTTTGTATATTTAAACTGATTTCATTGTCATTCTTTTTGTAGACATTGGTGCAATTATGCATTGATAGGTTGCAGAATAAAGAGTCAAAACCTACTCAAAATACACAAAGTATTCAAAATGGAATATATTCTACAAAAAATGAAAAGTAAGATATAAATTATTACAATAATTTTTATAAGTAATTTTTTTTTAACTAAAACTTATAAAAATTTTTTGATTTGTTTTTACTTTCAGCTCTCATAGAAATTCATTACCAGATATTCCATTAACACCTCGTGAAAGAGAAATATTAGAACAAACAAATTTCTCAGGTATTGGTAAAAATTCTTATCCTCATACTCAGTTACATCATTCAACATCATCAGATAGTATATTGAGTTCTGGAAATAAAAATTCAGTAAACTGTGAGCTTCCTCCACCTAAACCACCTTTACCCACTTTAAGAGATATTTCATTCTCATTAAGGTAGGTATATAATTTTTCAGTAAAATTATTTATTATTACTTTAAAATTTCAAAACAATATTGCATATGCAAAAATTTAACAAATTGCTTATAAATAAATAAGTTTTAATAAATTTAATGTAGTTTTGAATTCAGGAATGAAATTTTTAACAGATTATTGCATACTATGGATGAAACTATTTTATTGTAATCAAAAATTAAATGACTGATAGTTTGTTCAGAGAACAGATTTTAATTCCTTAGCAGCTATTTTACGATTTTAGTTGGTGTTAATGGTTTTTAAAATTCAAAGATGTAGGGATAAGTCACAAAAAAGAACTAGTTGATAAATATCAACTCTTATACTTGATCAGTTATGAGAGTTGGCATTTTTCTTTTTTAATGGTGAAAAACAAAATTCTTACATAAAATTCTTACATAAGCAGCATGAAAATTAATTTTATTTAAAAGATAATATTTTATTTATTTTCATATTTGAAACTTTTTTTTAATGACAACAGTTATTTCACAATTGACTATTTATTAGATCAGAAGTGGCCAAATGATTAACTTTTAACCTTTGTTATTCTAAAGCATAATATCAGAAAACCAGAACTTTAAATTTTGTAAATCTTCAATGTTCATTTTAGAAACAGAAATAACAGCCAACTCTAAAAATTATATTCAAAATAAATATTAAATTTTGAATAAGCATAAAACAAAATAATTTTAAAATACAGTAATACCTCGACTTACGCTACCCTGACTTATGCAAACCTGGAGTTACGCGATTTTCAAATCTCGTCGATTTCTCTTTTGTTTGAGCGCCACACAACTCATGATTACTCCCTACACTATTGTTCAGCTTACATGTTCAGACGTGTCATGCAGAATCAACGCATAACTACAACTTATTTTGTGTTATTTATTTCTGTGTTTGTTATATCTAATGGAGACTTGAGAGACTCTACTATGTCATCCAAACGAAGTAGGACTGATTATTCTGCATCAAACAAGAAAAATAAACTTTATCTTTAGAATGTAGAGTTAACATTATTAACTTCAATACAAAAATGAAAATTTGTGAATTGGATAAGAAGTTTGATCTACTGGAATTGACGGTCAGAACAATTATAAAAGGTAAAGAAAAAATTCTCGAAGCTGTGAAAAATGCTCAATCTTTAAATTCAACAAGCATCATTCGTAAACTTCACAGTATTATTGCTGAGATGGAAACAATGTTAAAATTATGGTGTGATATTCAAGTAAATGTGAAAAATTGTCCTGTTGATCAGAACACGGTGTGCTCTCAAGCTAAGCTGGTTTTTGAGAGATTGAAAGAGGATGCTGGAGAGATGGCTAAAGATGAAGAGTTTAAACTTAGTAACGATTGGTTCAGCCGATTCAAAAGTTGCTGTAATTAGCATAGCATTGCAGAAAGTGGAGAAGCGGCAAGTGCTAATAAAGAGGCTACGTCTTACTATCCAGAGAAACTCAAAGCTATGATAGATGAAGGTGGCTATACCAGCCAAACCATATTCAATGTAGATGAGACTGTCCTGTTCTGGAAGAAGATGCCTAAAAGAACTTTTATCGTGCGTGAAGAGAAACCTTTTCAGGTTTTAAGGCCGCCAAAGATCAATTGACAGTGATGATTGGCGCAAATGCAGCTGGTGATTGTAAGTTAAAACCTCTCTTAGTTTATTGCTTGGAAAATCCAAGAGCATTGAAAAAACTCTAAAGATGGCTTGCCTGTGATTTGGAAGTCAAATCGTAAAGCTTGGGTGGCAGCTTCCCTTTTTGAGGACTGGTTTGGTCATTACTTCATACCTGAAGTCGAACATTATTGCCAATCTAAACAAATTCCATTTAAAGTGATGCTAATAATCGACATCACGCCAAGTCATCCCCCTGCAACTTTAACTAATTTTGGCCCACGTGTGAAAGTTGTATTTTTGCCACCAAATACAACCAGCTTGTTTCAACCGATTGATCAGGGAGTCACCAAAACATTCAAAGCTCATTACACAAGACGATAGTTTGCACATCTGCATGAAGCTATGAGACAAAACAACAAGTTCTCTGTTAAAGACTTTTGGAAACATTTTTTTCTAAATTATAGTTTTCTTTAGTCTCTGGTCTGAATTAAAAATAATTTGTGTGTATTTATATGTGAAATTATACCCCGACTTACACGAATTCGACTTACGCGGTTATCGCTCAGTCCCACCTATCACGTAAGTTTGGGGTATTACTGTATTACCAATCTATTGTTTTTAATGAGAACATTGTTCCTTTCAAAATTTAGCAACATGAGAGCTATTGCTTTTGACAAAATCATGTTAAAAGCAATAACTCTCATGTTGTTTTCTTCCTACAACTGATAAATAAATTACTTTAACACTAGTTTTATATCTAATGTTGAAAACAAATCTGTTTCATTTCATTTTTTCATTTGTTGAACTACATAAAAGATCAAACTGTAATAATTTGTTTCTGGCTTGAAGGCAAGTTTGACTTTTTTGTATGGATATGCAAATATATATAGTACAAAGTATGTCATGAATATAGTGTGTAAGACTTGATGCCATATTCAAATTTCTTGGCAATAAAATCAGATGTGATTATCAGCAGATTACCAGATGTGTGCATACAATTGAAATATTGTTATCAGAATAAACTACATCATTTCTTGTATGTGTTTCTTGTATTGTGCACATTTTGTGTCATTCTTCAGTACTTTGTATCTTCATTCAGCTTTGACATGGTGTTCTTCACTTTTTTTTCATTATTTTTTCTTCATCTTGTTCAGAGTTGTCTGTTTTTAATTTCATATGCTGTTTTTAATTTCACATTTGTTACGTAGCAATTGCAATGTACCAAGGCTGACCAAGCTCTAGATTAAATTCAGACTGGAAAATGTATGTTTAGAGCCAGTACTTTTCTAGACAAAACCTTTTACCTGCAAAAGTAATTTATGTAAAATTTTTATGTAAAATTATATTAAATATTTACATCAGGGTTCACATTCTTAAAATTATTATGCATTTGTGAAAGCATCAGATCAGGTCAGTAGAACTGATCTGTAGTGATCTTGTCAGCAATTCTCAAACTTTGGGAAAGAGGAAATACAAGCCATGATTACATCCTTTACTTTATCTTTAATGACAAGAGGTCATTTCAAACTGTACTCCTCTTGTCAGTGAGATCAGTACCAAAAGTTAACTTTTGCTGTATAATCTAAAGATGTCTTTAAATAAAAAAAAGATGTCAGAAAATGTCACACAGTTTACACCATTACAAATACTTCTTGCTGCTCACCATTGACATTTACACTATATATGGAATGCAAGTTATTGATGTATCAATACTTACATGAAACTGCATATTATTACATCACTGTTTTGCATATCATCATGACAAACTTGCAAAATTGCAGTCATGATAGAGACTAAACAATAATCATACCATAAGTTGAGTTTTCTCTGGGAATTTGTTTTTACCTGCCTTCTTATGATAGGTCTTGATTCCATTTATGTAGCAAGTAATTGTGTTTGCTGATTGTGCATCAGTGTTCTAAAATCTTTGGACAGTTTCATTTTCTGAAAATGCAACATGTAACTAGTCTCTCTGCAGATATTGGTTGCAGACTTTTCTGTAAATTAACAGAAAACAGCACAACAATAGCATGATCATGTGTGTGAATTCACGTCTTGATGCCTGCAATGTTTTTCCACTCATCTCGCTTGGGGACTTTACAGTTGATTTAATTTGCCCACTGTATGACAAACATTCATTTCCTGTTTCCCTCTGCATTTTTTACTTCTGATTCCAATTTGCAGGTTGGCAATGCTTTCTCTTTTCTAAATTTGCAGATCTGAAGAGGTGAAAGAAAACACCTGCTTATCCACCATTTTGTATGCACATGCAATGTTTTTCCACATAGTTGATAAGTTGGAAGCATTATTCATTGTAACCATTGGATTCTTTTAGTAAAGATACCATTCTCTACATTGTTTCACATTGCACAATTTATTATAAAAACCTCAATTTGGCTATTTTGATGCTTGCAACATTATTTAGAAATTGAAGGCTCACATCAAATAAACATAAAAATTATTGTACATTAGTGAATTTATCATCTATCAATTAAACTTTTCATTTTTTTCAAATAAGTAGATGGTCATATTTTTCATGCCTTCTTAATACATTCAACAATAATAATTTTTTATTTATATTTAAAATTTAATGGTAATTAATAAATTTTTATGTTACAAAATTATTTTAAGTAAAATAAAAAAGTAGAAATAAATATAATTCTTATCTTGTTTACTTTTATTTTTTTACAAACTTTTATTTAGTGAGTTTTTGATTATTTATTTTATTTCAGTGCTGATTCTCCTAATGCAAACAGAAGCAGTTCAGAATCGGCACCACCTCTTCCACCAAAAAAACGAGGTGTTACTACTGTCCAATATACAAGTAAAACAGAGAATCAATCTCTCTTTTCTTTTGGAAATAATAATTGTCCAAGCATAATTTCAGCAGTTACAACTAATGGAAAATTTCTTGGTTCCGATCTTAATCATTCTTGTCTAGCTGACTGGACAAGTCCATTAAGCCACTCGTCAGACAGCTCAACTCCTCTTAGCAAATCATTGACAAGTAGTCTAGATTCAAATCTAAATCATTCTGCAGATGACATACTTTCAGTGGGAAAAATTCAAAATGTCTTTCATAAATCACGATCCCAAGTAGATGCTTCATCCTGTGAATATGAATTTGTAACATCATCTCAAACTTACAGTTATGAATATTCATCGTTCAGCTCAAAAACAGCATCTCATAATTATACTAGTAATGTGGATTCTATGTTACAAAAGTTAAATCATGTGAACACTAATGTTGAGAAAAGTGTCAGCAGTAATAATTCTAGTTTAAATTTTTCTATCAATAACAACAGTCATTTAATACCTCCAGCTCTGCCTGTTAAACAAAGGCCAACGAGACATCGTACACTGTCTCAGTATGATAATATACCTCATTTGGTACTTGATGTTACTGATGTAAGTTTTTCTTTTACTTTAATTAAAAATTTAATTCCTATTAAATGAATATGAGATGTATCAATAAAATTTGTACATTGATTAATTTTATAAATTTTAATTTTTGTTTTCCCATATCATATATTAACTCTTGAATTAAACTGCAAGAAAACTGTTATGAAATTATAATCATCATCAGTGATATTTATTGATTAATTTTTGTATGTTATATAGTCATGTGATAAGAATAAATTAAAATCAGAATTTTCATTGGATGGCATGCATAGCCCTCATTGTCCAAGAGCTCATAGTCCACAGCCTCTTTTGCATCATCAAAATTGGATTGCAGGAAATCACTCACCATCATGTCCCCATCATTCACTGACAACTGACTTTCATTCCTGTGAAGATGGAAAACCTCCTCCTTTGCCACCAAAGAAAAAGAATAGTTAGTGGTGTTAATTTTTCTTATATTAAAAATATTTTTTAAGATAATTTAATTAAATTTGAAATTTTTTAGTTATGGCATACATGCAAATGTTTGGAAGCTATTCTCAGCCAGCAGAATCTGAATTCTATAGGCATTCATTACATACCTATCAAGTTGTACAGGCCCAGTGGCAACAAGTAGAGCTATCTTTCATGCAACAGCATTCATTTACAACTAGTATAATTTCAAGCTCTGAAGATTCTGTATTTTCTGATGATCCAAGCAGTAGAAGTAGTTTAGATCGCAGCATTGGAGATGATGAACACATATCTCCAGCTACAACACCTCCAGCTTTACCACCAAAGAAAAATAGAGTATGTTTAATTTATATTAAATAATAATAGTACATTTTCTATATTTCAAATAATAAAAATTGTAATTTTTCACTATTTTTAAATGGCAGCAATTAGAAAAAATAAGTTATATTTTGTGTTAAATGTATTATATATTGTGTTCTTAGAGATATGCATTGTATTAGATATAAAATTCTTATTAAAATTTGCATATTATGATTAGGTATATTATAAAATTTTGACAACCATTTTATTAGTTTTTGATTTATTTATTATGAATTAAAGAATATACAAGAATAAAGTATACTAGTGTTTTTAATACAAAATTCTTGTATAAAAGCACTAGAATGCATAATTCTTGTATAGTTAAAAATGCTAAAATTTATCAATACAATATAGATAATTGAAATAATAACAGAGAATTGAAAAAAGTCAGTTTTTTTTTTTATTTTTGTTTTGCTATGTATTTTCACTTTTCAAACTAATACTAATGAAAAATTACATTAATTTTAATTTTCTTAAAATCTTTATCCTTTATGATTTGAGATTGATTGTATGAAGAAATACTAAAACAGTTTCATTTTCACAAATACAGTCAAACCTTGATAGAATACTGTTCATTTATCTCTGAAATTGGCGCTAAACTGAAAAATCTCATACAGTAGAAATTATTATAAGATTTACACACAAGTTTGAGGTTTGAGTTTGAAAATCACACAATTTGGTGATAACAATCTCATTTACAATGCAATATCTTACATTTGATAATTCAGAGATAACAAAGGATACTACTGTTTAATAGTTATGGGAAAAATCCATTCATAAGCAATGATTGGAGCTATACAAGGACAGCACTTTAAAGGAGAATGTTATATCAATGTTTGACTGTATCTGTATATAATTCTTTCAAATTATATACAGATACTGATACTGATTTATATCTTAAATATTCATTAAAGATTTTTCAAATATACTATTACATTACTTAAAATAAAGTTTATAATAATATCAATTTTAGTATAGTATTTTGAGTTAATATTTTTTGTTAGTTCAATATATTGTAATTATTTTTCATTTAATTTAATTCGTCATTTAACAATTCAACAGAATTAATATTTCACAAGAAAATTCCAAACTGTATTTTAAAAAGAACTTGTTGATATAAGATTCTACGGATGAAGATGAAATATCCACCTTTATTCACAGCTATCATATTCAGAATTACACTTTTATAATTTTATAATCAATTTTCAACTTTGAAATATCTAAGTATATATTTATTACAAATGAGTTCTTAGAAATGTTAAATTTTCTGTTTTTTTTTTTGTTAGTAATTCATGAATTGACAAATTCACAAATATTTATTTATGAATTTTTTCCGGTCATTCATTATTAATATTAAAGTTTTTCAAAATTTCTCAATAATAAGATTTTTTTCTTAGCAAATTATGAGCATAGATATCAGTAACTTTTAACTTGAAAATGGTTTTTTTGATGCACTTAGTAAATCATTAATTTTAGAATATTTACTTTTATTCAACAAGTTCATCAAAAATTTCAGTTCTAGAGCCAAATTAATGGTAATTTTTTTCTTTAATATCTACAAAATTTATATTTTTATTAATTTCAACTAAAACAATTTATTATTTTATCCAATTTACTTCAGTAATTTCAGTTGTGCTCGAATGCAATATGATTTCTCAACTTTCTATAACTTAGTTATTTACAAAGGAATTACTTCCTTTTAAATATTCTGCTAAAAATTATTTTCAATAACCACTGCTATAGTATTTAAAAAATAAATAAAACATAGGTCAGATAACTTGAAAGACAGTACAATCTCAGTAATCTGTCATATATGGGACTGGAACAATGTCAGATTAAAGATATTGTTGGATTATTAGAAGTAAGTGAATTCAATGGCACATAAATGAATTTGATAGCATAGAATCAACTGTTTAATGATGCAACAAAACACAAGTTGGGCTACTTATCAAATCATCTAAGCAGTTGATGTCATCTGAAATCAGTGTTCAAATTTAATAAGAATCGGAGTTTGAAATAGTGGGAAGCTTTGTACAACTTGGCAACATGAGTAATACCCAAGAGTGTACTAGTATCAACTGGATAGTAGTTACTGGATGTATTGAGCTTAGTAAACAGTCAGATCACTGAGATTCTACTGTATATAATACAATTTTTAAGTTAGTAAAATTGAATATTATTCTTATATTTAATTTAGTAAAATAAAACTAAAAATTAAAGCTTAATGCAAAATTAATATAACTATTACTCATTACTTTTACATTTCTAATGTATTGTAACATCTAAAATCTTTCAATATTTTTATATGAGATTGTTTCAAAAATGATTTTAAATTAATTTTTTAGACAAGTGCTGGCATAGCTTTACCTGAAAAATCACCAGATTCTCCTGTTACTCCAACAGTGAGTTCTGGCTTTGGAAATACACTCAGTCCTTCAGTAGATGAAAGCCAACTTTCTTCTGAAGGGTAAATATACAAATTCATTTATTATATTTTATTAACAAAAGTATACTTTTAATGCATAATTATTTTCAAATTTTAGAGATTTGAGTATTGGTTGGACCTCTCCAAAGAATGACAATCACAAAGAAGAAGAAGAAGAAACTGCTGAACAAAGCATATTAGATGAATTAGATGTAACTGGTTTAGTATTTAAAAATCCTGTAAGTGTTTACAATTTTACTTTTGATAAAATTTAAAAACAACCAATAATAATAGAATTACATTGTAATTTTTAATTAAAAATTTGTTTTACTATGTCAAAAATTTTTAATTAAATGTTAAAAAATAGATTAGCTACTTTTATTGTTTTCGTTTACATGGTGTAGACACAAACACTGCACTAAGCTTTTGCAAGATGCTTCTCTGACATGGGTGCTCAAAACCGTACAGAGAAGCCTCATACAGTTTCACCATTCATTTTCTTGATGGTGTCCACTTCTCTTTTGTGTATTTTAACTGGACAAAAACATTTTGTAGTGTTCTTGAGATGCTTTTTGTAATTTAAGTTTTTGTTTAGATTAGTGATTTGCTTTTTATCCTTACATTACTATAATTTAATATGAAAGTGCAATACAGAGTATTTATTGTTAATAGTATGTGATAAGTCATCCGTAGAGCCAAAACTTAACACAATTTAATTGAGTGTATGAATGCTATCATATTTCATATGATGAGATTCTCCATGTGAAGACAGTTGGGGGCATGATGTCCAAATCACTATTAATTACAGTTGACTCCCCCCTATAACACGGTAGATACATTCTGATTTTTATGAAATCCATTTTCTATGAGTCCTTAAATACATGAGCCAATCACAGCCCGGCATGTATGCGGTTTACGGACTAAGGCTGTTTGAAAGGTTTTCTTCCATAAAATTAATCGATTCTAGACTAATTCGACTCAACATTTCCAAAAAATGTATAATTTTTTGGGAATAATCCATATAAACTATGCTATAAACAAAAAATTGTAGGATTACTTACAGTGTGTGTACCGTTTGACGACGCCATTACTTAAGCTTGTTTTCGTTGTGGAGCAGCACATCGAATGACGCTCGCATGCTTCCTGATAAATTATTTTTCTGCGAAAACTTTGATGAAATTTGGAGACATCATTAATATAAATATAATTTTTATGGATGTTAAATAATAAATGGTTTTTAGTAGGTCTGCTGCTCGTTTAAACTCAATGGTTTGTACAATATCCGCTATTTGTCTAGATTCGACCAATCCTGTCACGACATGAGTCGGCCATGACATTTTACTGAATTATACGAGTCTCTTTTAGTGTGTTTATACGAATACGGCCGCAATTTTTTCGCCGTCATATAGGAATCCGAACTATATGAACCTGTTTTATAGGGGATCTACTGTACTTATACTCCAGTATGATTGCATATAGTTATTACATAGCAGAAGTAGGGTTTTGCCTGGGCAATGTTCATGTCTACACCATATATATTTTGAAACATTGGTGCTATTGGGTCTTATTATTTCAATATTTATAATTTTATTTATTTTAAAAATATTATTATTTAGTGAATTATTATAAAATAATTCTTGGTTTTATATTAATTATTATATTATATATAAATCAAGACATAGTTTTGCATTATCTTTAGCTTTCCTTTTAATCACAAAAGACACAGTTTGTCCAAAAATTATATTTTGAAACCACATTTATTCTGATTGTGTGTTCCAGAACACCATCGACAACCCAACCTTTCTTTGTAGGCTACTAGGTCATCAGGCTAAAACATTCTTTTAAAAAACACACAAAAATATCCAATTAAAACATTAAAAGTAAAGAATTGGAACTAGCAGCCTTACAGATGTCTTGAACTTGCATCCTTTCCAGTTTGGGAATTTCAGTCCTTTATATTCACTTGATAAATGCGCTGTTAAATGTAAATTTTGGCCTTATCCCTCTGGTGACGAATTACTTCTAAAAAAAAGTTTTGTTTGTAGAATTTCGCCGGATGATAATTTATTTTAATCACAAAAGACACAGTCTGTCCAAAAATTATATTTTGAAACCACCATTTATTCTGATTATGTGTTCCTGATTATGTGTTTAGCTTTCCTAATTAAATGACTTGTATGTTTGAATTTATTCTTAGTAGTCATTTGGTATTTTAGAATAGATGATTATAATAAAAACAAAGCTAAAAAGTTACAATGTAAATATTAAACAATAACATTAATTTTTAACATTATTACTAAAAGGTTAACAAAATTAAACCAAAGAAATATTTTTATATATTTAAAAACTATAATTATGGTAAAGCTTGACACATTTTGTTAATTGGTTCTGCAAATATACCATGTATACTGAACTTAACTGATGAATTAATTTATTTTCCACTGAATGTTAAATCATTAAGAATTCATCTAAAATAGTAATTTTTAAATTTACATTTGCTTGAATTGAATAAAAATATGGAAAATGAAGAAATAGAATTTTAAAAATTATTAATTAATTAAAGATTTTAGACAAAGTACAGTATAGTTGCATAAAAAAATGAAAACAAATTATAAACCATAATGGTATTTTTTGTTGAGCATTTTTTTTTTGCTGTAAAAGCTGAAGAATTAAAACAGAAATGTTAAGAAGAAATTTTTTAGCATTTGATAAACCTTAACACAATATATTCTTTTTGCAGTGTACTTTAGTTAACTTTACGTTGGACCACAGTATGGAAAAGGATCAATTTAATATTGCTAGCTCTGAACTTTGTCAAGCAGGCAACATTGAACTTTCCTCAGAACAAACCTTCATTAATCAAAACCACATATACTTAGACTTACTTGTATTTTGATGCAAGTTATACAATATTACAAGTTCCATTTTATTTAATTTTAATTTAACATACATAAAAAGACATATGTATGTTAAATTAAAATTAAATAAGATGGAAGCCAACTTTTTATTTACATATTATTGTTTTAATTTAAAATAGTTATTTATTAAAAGATATTTACAATAAACTGTAAAAAGTTAAATTATTTTTAAATAAAATTGTATTGTTAAATTTTATCAAAAGATGATATACAACATTTTACTAAAATCATTCAAAATTTAAAAAAATTTTATTTATTTATACATTCTATGTACAGTATTATTAATTGAGATATTTCAGTCTTTTTCTTTGCCTTAAAGAATTGATAAACATGATTTTAAACAGTTTTTTTATTTTAAATACTTATAACTTTTATTAAATATTTGAAATTAATTTGTATTTTAGGGAGATGATGGACCTGATATCAGAGGAGGACACTTAGATTCCTTAATTATTCAAGCTACTAAAGCTTCTAAAAATGGTATAAACAATAAAAATAAATTTTCTCAAAATTTTGTTATTTTTAAAGTAGTAATACAAATAATTTTTTATTAACCATTGGTAGATTTTATTTATCAAGAAGCTTTCCTCACTACTTACCGCACATTTATAACACCTTTAGATCTTATACATAAATTGCTGTACAGGTATAATAAATTCATTCATATGTCTGATATGAGGCAGCGTGCTGCTAGGAATGCATTTGCTCTCCTGGTTAGAGTGGTGGATGATTTATGGTAATATTGAAAATCCAATTCTGAAATTAATTTTTATTTTCAGATGAAAATAAATCATAATTTTTCTTCATTTAGTGTTGGTGATGCAGATGAAGAAGTCCTTCAAGTGTTGATGGACTTCATATTTCAGTTAGTGAGTCGAGGTGACTTAGTTCTAGCTCGTGCTCTGAGAAAGAAAGTTGTGGAGAAATGTGAAGTTCGACAAAGAGCTATGACAGCTTTACCAGTTCTCTTACCTTCAATGGCTGTCACTACCCATCAAGCATCACTTCTAGATTTCAAATCTGAAACTCTAGCAGAACAAATGACATTACTAGATGCAGATCTTTTCCAAAAAATTGAGGTATAGCTAAGATAATTTTGATTTTTATATCATATGAAATTATATTAAATGTTTGTTTATATTTTTAGATACCTGAAGTTCTTCTTTGGGCAAAAGAGCAGAAAGAAGAATTAAGTCCTAATTTGACAACATTTACAGAACATTTCAATAAAATGTCTTATTGGTAAATAGCAGTCTTTTTAATAATAAAATGTTTTGGCAAAGCATAATATTTCAATTTTTATTTAGGGCAAGATCGAGAATTCTTGAACCAGAAGAGGCTAAAGAGCGAGAACGTTATGTTGTCAAATTTATTAAAATAATGAAATATTTACGTAAATTAAATAACTTCAATTCATATCTTTCAATTCTTTCGGCTCTTGATTCTGCACCTATACGTAGATTGGAATGGCAAAGAAATATCACAGAAGTAATAAGCTAATTTTTTTATTTTAAAGTAAAATTTAAATTTTTCTTAATATTATGTAAATTATTTTCTTTGTATTCCAAATTATGTTGTTCTAGGGTTTGAAAGAATATTGTGCACTGATAGATAGTTCTTCTTCATTTCGTGCCTATAGACAAGCATTAGCTGACACAGAACCTCCTTGTATTCCATATATGTAAGTTAGTAAATCTCTTATAATTTAGAAAAGTTTATGCTATATTTTTTAATTTTAAAATATTTTAAGAATCAAAATTGTTTTTAATTCATAAATATGTATTTTTCCTTTAATTAACAAACCATTATTTAAATTTTATCTTACATTTAAGTCAGACTTAAGCTTATATTTAAGGTTAACCCTAGGTAAAATAACAAGAAAAATAATTCTTACATAACATTTTAGGTCAAATCTAGTAATTCTTATAAAATTATGTCTCTCTCTCTCTCTCTCTCTCTCTCTCTGCAAAGAGAATTAAATTATTTTTCTTCTAGACATTTTAGTTAGAAATTTTCTGTTTACATATAGGAATGGCAGTTGTATTTTGAACATCTGCTTCATTAATAATTATCAAATATTGTTAGGCAACTTGTTTTGATAGAGTACTTTCTTGTTAGCATGGAGTATGTATTTGTTTATCGTTCGATTGCTAATCATTAAAATGATCACATAATCTTTAAAACTCTGTCTTCACTAAACCATAGCAAACAAGAAAACACACTATAATTTATTTACTCTACACAAACTATCATCTACTGTCTTGTTTACCTTACTTTTTAAAACACCCTGTATATTTAAAATGTGAAATACAGTTTTCTCTTCTATAGAGTAATTTCCTTCATCTAATAAACAGAAAATAAAACAATTTTTTATACAAATCATCTTCAGATATTCTTATTTAAAAAAATGTGTTTTAACAAAAACAGAAAAATATTTGAAATCACAAAACTTTACATTATTATTTCATTAGTTTTGAAAATAATGTTTAAATTTGTGTGTTGCTTCTCTAACAGTTCAATTTTGCTACTAATATTTGAAATTTATAAAACTGTAATTAATTGCCTTAGCAGATTTGCTTAAAGGTTTCATATTTTTTTAAAAATCAACTGCATTTAATAATTAAAATTAATACTTATTATTTTTATAGTGGTTTAATTCTGCAAGATCTTACATTTGTTCATATTGGTAATAACGACTTCCTTCCCGATGGATACATTAATTTTTCAAAACACTGGCAGCAATTTAACATTTTAGAGAACATGAAAAGATTTAAAAATTGGTAAGAATTTATTCTTAATGATTATATTTTTTACATAAAATTAAAAATTAAATTGTAAATTGCATCTTTTCACTCAGCCAATATCCATTTAAAAGAAATGAACAAATAATAGCTTTTTTTAATAATTTCGACAATTATCTGTGCGAGGAATCAATGTGGCAAATTTCCGAATCGATTAAGCCAAGAGGAGGAAAGAAAAAAGATGTTTGATTTTTTTTAATTTATTACAATTCGTTAAAACAAAACACGAAAAAAAATTATATTGCTCAGTAAAACGTAATCACGTGCCGAACCTCCGTATTGTAAATCGGTAGTGTTATAACATTTTTAAAGAATCGTGTTAATAAAATTATGTTATGTAAATACTTATAGTCGCTTAATGTATATTGGAAGCAATGGCGTAGTGTCAATGGAATCGTAACAGTTTTTAATATATTTAAAAAGGGAATATGTCACCGAAAGCAGCTCTTTATTTATAACTGTACGCTACCGAACGAGTGCTTACATGGTGCTTTATTTGCCATTCAAAGTTACAACCATTCTTTATATGCAAATTTTTTTATAGATCATGTTTTATAATAGTTATTGTTTAGTCAAATGAAAATGTGCCATTGTATTATAATTTTGAATGCAGTATTTGAAATATGAATTTTTATATAGAATTAGAATTTTTTTATGAAGATTTATTTGAGTGCGTCGAATTCGTTTTTTGCAAATCATGTGAGCATTTTGTAAGCTTGAAATTTTTTTTGTTTAAAAAAAACAAAGCCAAAACATGTTAAAGGCTATAATTTTTCAAAGAAACTTTATAGTAAGTTTTATTGTATTATATATTAATGTAAGTTTAAAAAAATGCACCAAAGAGAAAAAATTACACGTGTAAATGTGTATGTGCGTGCGTGTGTGCGTATTCGAGATAAGCCATGGCAATCTATTTCTTTCTCCACTTTTAAAACCTGTCCACACAAATTCGGCAGCTTTTAAAAAACTTCAAAGGTTGAATATCGAGCAAGCTCATTTTTTAAGCTCAGGGATGAGTCTGCATTTAAAAATAAAAAAAGTTTATTTTAAATCAGCTTGGAATAAAAACAGATGTGATTTATTTACTGCCCTATATAAACAAGGTGCATTTTATTAGATTGCTCTTCCTTTTATAACAAAATTCAAAATGTAATACGTATCGAAAAAGTGTGTTTAAGTTATTCTGTGAAAAATTTTCACGTGTATGTTATAAATGTCTTGTGATAATAAATATTTCATTTTGTGTCAGAGTTTTTGGTGTTTAACATGAAACTTGACATATTTAAGTTGCAATCGTTTTTTAACGTTAATATATAAATATTTCTTTTTTTTTTAATTAAAAATATTCTTTAAATAAAGTAATATAATTGAAATAACGTCCAATACATTTAAAGGCTAAAATGAATAAAACACCTTTTAATTATAATAAGATCTTTTATGAACAAGAGATGTTTGAGAATTGGTGTTTTCGCGGATGGCGAACTGTTAAGCTGAAAATTTCAGCTTAACAGCGTGCAGCAAAACGACGGCGTTTTTCTGCGCGCTAACGCTACACGATTTTGCTGCCCAACGCAGTCTATTGGCAATTTTGACGTCATAAAACGTGTTGCCCGACAAGGAAGTTGGTCAGTATTTGTTTTCCGAAAGTTTGGAAAACATATCCACTTGTCACCAACAACCCAGTCAGCGAACGTCTCGAATAATAATAGCGCCAATTTATGAGTAGCGATATCCATCATCGCGATCAAGATGGAGAAAAAATAAGTGAGGAAATAATTTCTAAGTGTGATCGAGTTTTATCGAGACAAGAGTACTTATATATAATACGGATAATATATGAATAAAGTTAATTGTTCATTTCTGTATAAATGTTTCTCATCGCGTGCTGCATTTCTGTGGAAAACATTGTCTAGTGCAGCATTTCTCAAACTGAGTCGCGAAATGATACAAGTATTTCTGCGAAGGTGGTATTACTGAAATATACTCTTAAGAACTAAGAACAACAGACACGTCTTATTAAGTATCGAAAACTTTAGTTGTAATAAAATTAATAAAAATATATAAATGATAATTATAAGATTATAGAATGCGTGTATTTAATTCATTTCTATTTTGATCATCATTAAAATACATATTTTACATAAGATCGTAGTCACAAAGCCACTTGAGTTGCAATAGTTTTGAAAATACAGTATTTTTTTGTTTATTCAAACTTGTAGGTTTATTGTCCTACATAATAAATAATGGATGGATTTTGGCATCTTAAGTGTATCAATAAATAATTTTTAAAGAAATTTTTTTGGTATACAGTATATACAAAATGAAATTACTTTTCAGATTGTAAGAAAATTTCGTCAGTTTTAAAAAAGGGTTCATTAAGTTTATAAAAATACTTGTAATATTTTTCATTGCAAAATAGACTCCTGAATAATTTTGAAACTGAAGATTGTAAATAAAACAGATTGTATTATTAAAAAAATGTAAAACAATTTCAGTTGTTATTGAAATTTAAAGTTATTAGTTACAAATAGAAATTGGCCTGAATCGCTCTTAATAGAAATGTACGCAATGTTACATTTCACACGTAGAAGTTTAATTAAATAAAAACTAATTTTATTTCGTTATGTAATATACAGTGACTCCAGTTTACCAGGTTTTTAAAGATTTTATATTATAAACATTTGGGTTGAGGAACCGTTACAAATATATTAGGTCGCGTGAGCAAAAAGTCTTGAGAAACTCTGTGTAGTGTTCGCTCTCTCCTTTAGAATTGGGCAACAAACTCATCTGTCAGCAAAATCGTGATTTTATCTCCCTGCTTAAGGTTAATCCACTTTTATACCCATATAAACAAGGATCAAGAGTTAAAGTTAACCGATAAGCATTCTTGTACATAAAAGTGAATGATAATGAACAGTCCTGGGATTTTGGCGACATACTTTTAACTATTTTTTGCCTGGTATCGTTATGCCGGTCTAATTACGCTGGTATTCGTCACAAAGAACGTTCAAACTAAACTTGACCAGAGAAAAAATGAGAATAAACTATATACCGTAGTACTAGTTTTTATATCACATCATGTGTTATTTTAGTATGTATTGTAGGCAGTGGTGTAACTACTTATTCAGCGCCCTAGAGCAAGTCGATCGGTGTGCCCCCTTGTACCAAGGAAGAGGTCTCGCGAAATTTATTTTGAACATTTAATTTAAAAACATATCTAATTATTTCGTTTTAAAACCTTATTTAATAACAATTTATTTCAGATTCAAGACATTTCAACAATAAGATATTCAATTTAATAAATCTTATTATTATAACCTAATCGAGATGGATTGATAATAAGCGCAGAGCCCAAAAAGGTTAGAAGTTGAAATTTGGTACATAGTACGCTTTGACAATGCACACTAAGAAAGGATTTTTCGAAATTCTCCCTGCGGATGGAGAGGAAGAGGGCTAAGGATTACCCTGAAGAACTTCTACTGTACTATTTTAGCGGCCGGATGGCCGAGCGGTCAAGGTGGCAGCTAGGGTTTCTTATTTCCCGGTCTTTTGCTTGTCCCGGGATTCCGGGATAAAAGTGAACTGTTTCCCGGGATCCCGGGATATAATNAACTGTATTCTAAATAAAAGCATCGGTTCTAAAGCTAAGATGGTTGTTAAGTATAAACAGAACATAACACCTGCCCATCCTTAGGTAAGAACCCCAACATATTCTAGCATAGAAATTTCTGAACCCATCAGGAATCATAACTGATGCTCAATAGTAGGGTTTCTTATTTCCCGGTCTTTTGCTTGTCCCGGAATTCCGGGATAAAAGTGAACTGTTTCCCGGGATCCCGGGAAATCCCGGGATATAATAAATTATTTTTAAAATATAAAAAATATCTTGAAATCGAATGATATCATTATTTTTCATTTTTTAAAGTAATTTAAGTGTTCTGCAACCTCCAAAATCGTATTAATAATGATGTGTAAAATATGTATTAAAAATACCTTTGAATTACGTAGAAAATTCACAAATAGAAAAAAATTTGTTAAAGTTTGTTGGAAACTGATTATAACAAAAAATGCCTACGAATTGAGTTAAAAATTTAAAGAAAAAACTGAACTTTGATCAAACTTCAAACTTCTAACTTAGAAAATAATTTTCTTTATTTAAATAAAACCTTATAAAAATTTACATTTGCATTATGAGATTTTAAAAAACAAAGATGGTCGATACTCCGATCACTCAATCTGGTTCTTAAATTGGTAATAAAAAGTCCTGCTGCCAAGAATGCCCTTTCTTATTCAATCGATGTGGGTGGAATCGTTTTTAACGCATTTAACAGAAGACAGATGTTGTGTGTTTTTTCTAGTGATGTAACGAATATTCGGTCACTATTCGGTATTCGGCCTATTACCGAATACCTAAAAACAGGAGTAAGAAATAACAAAAACAAGTAAATTAATCATTTTGGTATTTTTTTTTTTTTATAGATTTAATGTTATCGAGTTAGTGTTTGTTTATATTTATTTATAACTTATAACATGCACAAAATAAAAAAGAAAATAATATTAGTCACATGTATTCACAATTTATAATTACAAAGATCAGCACACGTACACACCTATTCGTTCGAGAATCGTCGCACATCTGAGGGTCTGACCCTGCCTATCCTTCTTTTTAAGCGCTCGTCTTTGCTCTTCCCTTTCTCTTTCCTCTATCGCTCTAGTCCACGTATGCCTATGCATACATCATAATACGCCCTCACGATACTTTCGATTCGTGACTTTTCCGTCGTAGATTTCCCATTTTACAATTACGTGACTCATAGCCTGGTGATAACGGATAAAAGAGACAGATAGGACGTCAGTATAAGTCACAGTTATGATTTCACAGATTCGAAACAGCTTGGTAGCCCGAACGACCCCAGGCTTTCGCCCGTGCACGCTAAGTGACTTTCATTACAAGCTTTCCGAAGTCTATGATAACAATTGTTTGGCATTCACGGCCGCGAATTTCGTGCCAATAAGCTGATTCGACTTGTTCGATTATATTATCAACTCAATTTCATATTTATTTTCACTTTGCGGTCCTTCTCTGTTCTTTTTCCGTTATTTACACGTGTAGGTTATTACATTGTTATCCACATTTGATATCATCACTTATCACATACTGCCGTGACGCTCTTGTCTGAACTGTCAAGAATTAACGCGATTGGCGAAGCGTAGTGACAGCGGGCCAATAGAAAGCAGAATCCTTGCCATAATGCGATTTGCGCGCCAATTTTCGTACGTGCGTTAATCGAGCCGAATAGTTTGGCCGAATATTCGCCTATTCGGCCACGCTCCTGGCCGAATA